CCACGTCAGCTTGTGGGGGGAGTTGGTGATCGACGTTCCCAGAAACGTCACCCCCTCACCCCCACCCTCATCCCTACTCCTGCCCCAGCTCTGTGGGAAAGTGCAAGGGGAACCAATTAGTATCTTCATCTTCCATGAGCAAGAGTTGGGGAATTAGGCACATGTCCTAGGAATGTTCTGAAGGCTTTCCGTGAGGCCGATTTGTTCTCCGGGAATCAGGGGTGATGTAGGAAATACTGAAAAAGCAGTAAAGTCAGGAGCACTGGCCCTCAGACCAGCCAGGGTTGATGGCAGCCAGAGTACTGGGCAGGGTGTGGGATGTTCCCCTGTGCAAGCATTAACACTTCTGTGGCTGGCTCCTCTGGGGCTCCGGTGAGTTCCGGGAAGTTGGGGGTGGGTGAGAGCACAGGAGCAGCTCTTTTAACAAAACATTCTCACTGGCAGAGCACTCACAGTTCATACTGAGTGTCAGCCCTTCCTACAATCTCCAGATTCTTGAGGCGTAGATTATGTGGGTAGGAGGAGCCACACGCCTCTCTGCCCAGTCCTTCTTTTTTTCTGGGAAGGCTTGAAGCAAATGAGAACCTCATCTTCCCACTGTTTGTCCTTAAGAAATATCTGAATCGACATGTGGCCTAAGGGAAATCCCACCGTCAAAGAAACTCCGAGGCAAGGCACAGATACAGCATTAGGTTCTGCAAAATACTGTAAACTATTCAAAAACAAAAAACAAGCAAAACCCTGCTAAAGTCACTGCGTAGACAGTGGAACACGCAAAACACAGAGGAGTCACCGTGTATCAGAGTCATGCAATTAAAGAAACAAACCCAAGAGAGAACTCCTCAAAGAAAATCGTTTTATAGCCCATAATGAAAAACGAAACAAAACTTGTCTCTGACTTTTTTTTTTTTTTTAAATAAAAGGGCTGTTTAAAAAGATGACTGTGGAGTGTGCACCACTTTCCCCAGACTTGCTTTGCAGAAGTGCCTAAGTGTGAGTGATGCAGAGGTACTTGTTTATTATAGAACACATTTCAATGCAGTAATCATAAATATTGCTAAGGTTGTGCTCTGTTGAAATATGACCTACATACTCTTGATTGTTTGTGTTACGTGATTTGTCTGACACCCATTACATTCCGGGTAATAGCAGCCATTTGTTGCTCTGCACAGCAGGCTCTTTTGACAAAAGAAAATAGGCAGTAATAAAAAAGCTATAGTCTGAATTACATTCTGCACAGTGCTGCACTGCTGAGAGTTTGTGCAAGTGTGTTAGCAATGCTCTGAACTGCCTCTTGTCAGCCTTCAGCCTGTAATGGCCATCTGTCCTCACATAAATCTGTCAAAACCTGCTAAGTTCAAGAGAGAGCATGGAATATACCTTGTACTGTCAACACCAAAATGTACACATTCCCCGGAAAATCAACACACAGGAAATAATCCGGAGGTTATGGGAGGCATTAGCCCTGTTGATTTAAGCTTGTGGGGTGAAATTGAGAGTCTGGGCCATTAGAGGGAAGATGAGCAAAGGTAGTGGCATTAAGGAATTGAGTATTGACTGCCCTCCTCCCGCAGGGGACAGAGTTCTGGGTGGGGAAATGGGACAAATCCAATTAGTTCAGGTGCGGCAAGGGGTCTCTGTCCTACCAGCGGCTCTTGAAAGTTTGACACTATTTTATACAGATAAGTATATACAGTGCTTCTCACGCTTTTGTTTTGCTTTGTTTTGCTTTAGGTCTCAACTATATCTGGAAATAGATTTTCACTTAGGCACTGGTGGTTGCATCCTTGAGATTTCCCAGTCTTGCTTGGAGGTATTCTCTGAATAAAGATATTTCAGTAAACAGTACAAAAGTTTAGGGGATTATCTGAGTTGTTTTCCCTTACCCACCTACTCACTAATCCTGAAATAACTTCCATCCATGAAGCAGGTATTACTTTTTTTTTTTTTTTTTTTAACCAGCAGTGCCCACAGCAATTTCTACCCCTCGTATTCTCCCTCGTGGGGTCTATTTGGTTATCTCGGAGTGTTTCCGGAAATCTTACGCACATATGCAAGAACATAGGCTTACTTCAAGTTTTAGGCAATTGCCCGTTTATTAAAAGGAACCATGAAGTCCCTAAAATACCAGCATCTTGGTGTCTTACCCAGCACAGAGTACAAGCCCAGTGAATGTCTGCTCCACCCCCATAGGCCCTCCAAAATGTGCAGAAGGGAAAAGGCTTTGTTTCTAACTCAAAAAACAAACAAAAACAAAAACAAAAAAACTCAAGCGAACAAACTACCAGCAGGGTGTCGCCACTCCCCAGAGCAACTTGAGAATCACTTATTTAAGTGATAATGAGCTTAGGTACTAGGACAAGGGTTTCGAATGTTCAAGACTAAAAAGAATTTCTATATTTAAAATCCCTAGATAGCTGAGCTATTTTTAGAACTAGTCTCTCTTTAATAGTGGCCTAATTTGGTGTTTCTGAAGTTTAGGGTTTCTTTTTATAAGTCTAGAATGTCAGTCAAAATACATACACCTGAGAACAAGGCAATGTGCTACTTAGACATGACAGGACAGAGGCTCTCCATATGCGGCCCATGAACCACCTCATTAAAAATGTTTGACCAGCTTCCCAAGGTATTCTTGAGCCACTGAAATATAAGACCCGCTACTAAAGGAGAATCTAGAAAAATTTTTCTAAAAAAAGTACAAGAATTTTTGCACAAATAAGCCCAAGCAACATTCTACTAAGAGCATATAATCTATTTGGAAAGACAAGATAAACTATACATTCAAAAAAGAGATGAGCAAGAATATAGAGCATTATCTGATAAGTATCAAACGAGTGATCCTGGCAATAAATTATTAGGAATGTAACAACTACTCTAATTTGGGAACCACGAGAAGATTTATGGAATTGGATTTTAGGATGTCGAATGTCATTTCCCCTATTCAAAGGCTATGTCATTTGCAATATTTGACTTTTATTGGCTGAGCAAAGAGAGATTATTCATCATTATTTCTTTGGGCATCTTAGCCTCCTGTGAGAAGTATCTGAGAATTTATCGTTTCTTTGGAGGAGCATTAGTATCTTTAAATTTGTTGTAATGGTAACTGAAGACAGCATGTGGTAGAAATGAGTGTTGGAAACGGGGCAGTGCGAAAGGTAAAGGAAACAAGGGGAAAAAAGAGAGAGAAAGATTGAATACATAAGAATCTCTTAGAGCGAGTAAAAGGCATACCTGTCCATGAAAGAGGGGACAAAAGGAGAGTGTGCCTCAGTGACATGGAGGTTTCATTGTATAATATGTCACCTCCCTATTACCTTCAAATGAAGAGTACGGAAGGCATGTGGGGGTGCCTGCTAATCTAGGGAGCTTTTCTGGGACTCTGCTGGGTCCCTTCTCTGTGTTTGTATTCCCCTGTCTTTCTGAATTTTTCTGGGGTGGATTTCCAAAGTCACATTACTTTGCATTTTTGTAGCCTTTCTCCCCTCATTTAGAAAGCTTTAGCCGTACAGAATAAAAATTGCCAAATAGTGGTGTCAAATATTTTATTATACAGGAAATATTAATTTCTTCCATATTTTTATTGCAAAGTAGGAAAAAGAGGCAGTATCTTCCTGTTCATACCAAAATTGCATGTGGCTTTCTGTGATCTACTTGGTCGTGTGTGTGTGTGTGTCTGTGTGTGTGTGTGTGTGTATTTTTTTCCCTTTTCTCCAGCAAAGTCAGATTTTTCTGCCATTTCCTTGAAATGTGCAGTTGCCTTAAGTCTAACCCCAGACTTGTTAGCAGACTTGAACTCTGCTGAACAGCGTTCACCCATCCTCCCGAATAGAAAATGGATTGTAAACTCAAATGTTCCCTTGTAAGCATAAAGTCATTTGAACCCTAGCGTGCCCTTCTTCAAAGTTCCTTGGACTCTGGAGCCATTTCCCAATTATCCTTCCTCGGTGTGAAGGGATGAGTAGAACTTTCTCAGGGGTGAAACATAGTGGAGGCAACTACAGCTCACGGACTCTCCCACCATGGCCATCTGATGGCATTTTCTGCTCTTCTGTAGAAAAGGACGAAAGACACCAACCGATGGGGTGACTCTGGTCTCCCTTTATTTTATTATTATTTTTTTAATTAGTTGGTTGCCGGAGTTTGGGTCCGTTTCAGTCCTTCAGCCTCCTAACCCGCCCCGATGTTGTGCTCTAAATAAAATGGTCCACTAGCACTGCAATATTTAGTGTTCCTGTTCATTTAGGTTTCTGTTGCAGAACCATATTTTAGACAGAATGTATTAGTTATGCTTACAAGAAAGTATTATACCTACATTAGCCATGGTTTACTAAGTTAATGAACTGTGGAGACAAAAGAATCATTGCCGTCAAGTTGCACAGTTGTCTGGTTCCCTGCTTTCGTCTGTCGTGTTTTACTGGACTTCCTTTGAAGTTGTCTGTGTCCTTCCCACCCTGCCCCACATTTGCTGTCATGCCATCTTTTTTTTTTTTTTTTTAAGTTGCCGAGTTCTGGGGCTCCTTGGGTAGTGATCCTCGATTGGGGAAATTTTTCTGAGCCACTTGTGTGCTCCTCAGAATTCCTTGCAGACAAAGGCTACCAAAGCTATTCTGTGATCCCCCTGGGCCGTGCTGTGTTAATGTTCCATAAGGCAGACGCACGGTGCCCTTGGAAATGCGAGCTTGGGTAATGCCTGGTGCCCGTGGAGGCCGGTAGGGAGGCGTTCGAGTTTTCTGGGAGGTCAGTTCTGTTAGCATTGGCATGTAAAACACAAAATATCACAGATTTCACTGCCACCTGCCAGTAGTGAAATCTGTCTTTTCTTGGTGACAGGGGCTTACAGGGAGAGAGGTACTTTTTCAGGTCTTGCATGAATTTCGTGTCCCTTCTTTCTCGCCATTGTCTGAAGCCCTGGAGAAGTTAGGAACACTTGTCCTGGCATTTAACCACATGATCTCCATCTCTTGTCTCTCTCCCCACCCCCCTCCTTCTTTTTCCCATAGGCCTAACTCCGCCCACTACTCCTCCTCACAAAGCCAACCAAGATAACCCTTTCAGGACTTCTCCAAAGCTGAAGTCCTCTTGCAAGACTGTGGGACCTCCTCCATCAAAGAAGCCCAGGTACAGTGAGCCTCCTGGCACCCAAGGCAATAACTCCACCAAGAAGGGGCCCGAGCAGTCTGAGTTGTACGCACAACTCAGCAAGACCTCCGTGCTCACCAGTGGACACGAGGAAAGGAAGGCCAAGCGGCCCAGCCTACGGCTGTTTGGTGACCATGACTATTGTCAGTCGATTAATTCCAAAACGGAAATACTCATTAATATATCACAGGAGCTCCAAGACTCTAGACAACTAGAATATAAAGATGCCCCCTCCGATTGGCAGGGGCAGATTTGTTCTTCCACAGATTCAGACCAGTGCTACCTGAGAGAGACTCCGGGGGCGGGCAAGCAGGTCTCTCCTTGCAGCACCAGAAAACAGCTCCAAGACCAGGAAATCCGAGCCGAGCTGAACAAGCACTTCGGTCATCCCAGTCAAGCTGTTTTTGACGACGAAGCAGACAAGACCAGTGAACTGAGGGACAGTGATTTCAGTAATGAACAATTCTCCAAACTACCTATGTTTATAAATTCAGGACTAGCCATGGATGGCCTGTTTGATGACAGTGAAGATGAAAGTGATAAACTGAACTACCCTTGGGATGGCACACAATCCTATTCGTTGTTCGATGTGTCGCCTTCTTGCTCCTCTTTTAACTCTCCGTGTAGAGATTCCGTGTCACCACCCAAATCCTTATTTTCTCAAAGACCCCAAAGGATGCGCTCTCGTTCAAGGTCCTTTTCTCGACACAGGTCGTGTTCCCGATCACCATATTCCAGGTCAAGATCAAGGTCCCCAGGCAGTAGATCCTCTTCAAGGTAACCTTGTCATCACCCACCCCAGAGCGTCAGGTCCAAAAAACAGACAAACCAACCAACCAACCAAAAAAAAAAACAAAAAAACAAACAAACAAACAAACCAAAACACGCACTCGCAACCCACAGGCAGCCCAGCCCGGCCCCTCAACACGGCATCCCCAGTGCCTCTGGAACTAACGAGGATGTTGTCACACAGACAGTCCTCCTCATCTTAAATCTGTCAGCCTTGAGCACAGTGGCTTGAGCCAGTCGGATCACAGAGAGCAATTTGTAAGAAACCTACTTGCTCCCCTAACTTTTTCCATTACCTGGAGGGTTGCCCTGTGCCAGTACAGTTGAGATCCACGCGAGATAAAGCTGACATTGTACCAGACTGGCGCTCGGCGTTAGCATCAATAAGAGAGGCTGGGAAAGCACACATCACTCCCCAGACCTCTAAGCTGACTACACCATCACAAACCGCCACCGGGAAATCTCACCAGTAGCTAGGAGGAAAAAGCCGCTCTCTGTCACACGGTGTTCCGGGGGCTATTCTGTCGTGCCAGTAAACCGGGGTGAAGCGGCGGTTGCAAATGCCCTCTCTGTTTTTCCTCTCGCTCCCAGATCTTGCTACTACTATGAGTCGAGCCACTGCAGACACCGCGCGCACCGAAATTCTCCTCTGTGCGCAAGATCACGTTCCGGGTCGCCCTACAGCCGGAGGCCCAGGTGAGGGTGCCTGTCATTTTCCTTCTGCTCCTCTCACCCCCTCCTCTAGATGACGCGGTGTCAGCTCGAACCCTGCCCCCTCCCCCGATCATGATTCGTTTTGCTTGGGTAAATGGAGGCGGTTGACGGTTGACTTAATGATGAAGTTATGTTTCTCAGGTATGACAGCTACGAGGAATATCAGCACGAAAGGCTGAAGAGGGAAGAATACCGCAAAGAGTATGAGAAGCGGGAGTCTGAAAGGGCCAAACAAAGGGAGAGGCAGAGGCAGAAGGCAATTGTAAGCAGCTGGGAGCTCACTTTCATTTTAAGGGAGGGTTTCCCTTCCCTTCCCTTCCCTTCCCTTCCCTTCCCTTCCCTTCCCTTCCCTTCCACCTTTTTTTTTTTGTTTTTTTTTGTTTTTTTTTTTGTTTTTTTGCAGACTAGAAAATAAACTAAAGCGAAGGCTTTGTTAGAATATGCAACATTCAGCCTGTTGACTTTGAAACAGCGGTGGGTCCCCCATCCAATCCCTCTTGACGCAGATTATTGGGAAGCAACATGGTAAATGAGCGTAGGTTCCTATTCGGACGTCACGTTCCTCATTCATCTTGAAGCTCGTTGCTGTTCTCTACTTTTGTTTTCCAAAATGGAGGGAGCAGGGATTTATTTAGTCAAAGACTGGTTCCATCGGGGTCAGAAGATGGGTTTTTCTTACCGTCCTCTGCGGCTTTTGTGAGTGGAAGATGAGGCGGTGCCCGTGTTTGGTTTTTTAGTTTTTGTCTTTTCTGCAGACGTTAGAATTGGATCGTGCGGGAAGGGACCGGGTTCAAGTTGGATTTAAAGGAGGCGGTAGATGAAGACTTGCTAAAAAGTCATCATTTCTTACTTGTGCTGGGTCAGCATCTAACCGGGTAGTTGACACATCCACATTTCTTATGAGTTACTTTGCAGTAACCCATTATGTATTTCGTCACCACGTACTGCAAGGCATCACATCTCCTTGACATACAGACATCACTGACACTTCGATGTAAAGATCCAGGCTATGTTGAACTTGTTGGTTCTCTGCGGGTCACTACTTCTCAGCACCTGCTCGCAAGTAGGTAGATTTTACCCCAGCTCCCTCCTATTGCTTTTCAACCCAGAACTTAGAAGGTGAAAGCCAGTGGCCCCAGTTGTCAGTCTTGCCCATGGCAGACATTCCTAATCAATTATGGAACTCTTCCCACTGAGCCCGCGGGGAAACTTTGGGTCTCTCCCAACTCAGGGCTTCAGGGAGCCTTGAGTAATCAATCAGAAGTGGCATTGCTTTTGTCCGCCGTGGCTGCCTGTCTGTGCTTCATTGTTCCTGAGAGTCATTTCAGTTAGATCAGCTGTTCCCAGGTCTTGCATATAAGGGAACCAAGGTTTAGGGAAATGACTTTCAACTGTAAAGGTGAGATTTGTATTGTACCTTTAAGAAAACCTACAACCATCAACAAAATCTTGAAAAAACTACATAAAAGAACTGACGAATGGGGTCAAAATCAAGCACTGGCCAACAGTTATCAACCAGAGGGAAAAGGTTAACTGAGAGGCTTGTTAATAGCAGGCGCTCGAGGAAAAAGAAGGGAGAAGTGATTGAATACTTAGGCTAAAGGTCTAGAGTGTTTGCTGTCATTTAACGTTGAAGCTACCTAAGACTGAATCAAAAGTCTTGTGCAAATTACAACACCTTTGCTCATTTTTCTCAACTTTCAAATGAGCTGTGATATTAAGGGCTGCCAGAGTATCATTCGTTAACACTTAAAGAAGACTAACGAAAATTAAAAATTCAAGTTTTTTAATTTTGCTGTATTTAATTAATAGCCTGTTCAATAATTATAATAACTCACATTTATATAATGCCATAGAGTTTACAAAGCCTTCTGGTATGGCACATTACAGTTAATCTTTACAAAAGAGAATCATGTTGCGCAAGCATGTAGGAAAAGAGTTATTTCAGTGTTTGCAAATCCATATTTTGTAAAATCCTCCATGTTTCTTCCCAAAAGTATCACAGTGAAGAGAACGATTAATGGTTTCATTATGTGTTTGTGCAAAATACACCACTATAACCAAAGCTGTGCAGATAAATGTAGCTAAATGGCATGTGTTTCTTTTTGTCCTTCCGAAGATAATTTAGTGCCAGATACTTAAAGAGAGTGCATAAAGGAGAGAGGGGTCTTTTCATTAGTTTGGCTCTTTCCAAAATATCATTTGGTGTGGCTGGTCTACATTCCACAGTTACGCCTGTGCCAAAAGCAACCTTGAGGTCACTAGCCCCAGACTGAAAGCAGATACCCTCTGCCTTCTCTTTGTGTCACCAATGTTGACCAGTTCTTTAGTTAATTCTTTGAGTAAGACAGTCTTTATCAGTTATCTCTGAAAGATGGCTTATATAGTAAAAATATCAAGTTGGCTTACACTGAGTCATTATAAATTAACTAGACATCTGGCTTTGAGATTTTTTTGTTTTTGTTTTGGAAAAGGAGATTGAAAAAAAAAAACTAGGACATAGGGATTATTTACTCTGTAATCAGCGAACTATAGATAATAAGAGCTGAATATAAAGATGTGGGACTAACTCGTAAATTCACCCCCTCTTGGACAATGACATGCTGTTTCTGCTTCACATAAGCGAGAACTCGTGATCCTTTATGTGATAAACATTTGCTAGTTGCTTAGGATATAGAATCAGGTAAGACCTGGTCCACACATCCAGAGAGCTTCAAGTCTCCCAGCAGATAAAGATATGCAAATGAGCAGTAAGGTATGTTAAGTGCTATGGCAGAAGGTAACCTAAGGTACTGGTGGCCAATGGGTGGACACCTAGACCTGAGAATGAGGGAGGGCATTCCTGGTGAGGGTGAGATTGATCTGAAATCGAAAGAGAAGGAAGGCAAAGGTTTTCTACACCTGTGCTTTCCAATATGGCAGCCACTCGCCACACTGAATTAAGATGCACTATAAATGTGATTGGCTGTTGAAAATTTAGTTCAAAAGAAGAGGGTAAAATGCCTGATTAATACTTTTCATATCAATGGCAAATTGAAATGATAATGTTTTGGACATATTTTTTTTTCAACGTTTTTTATTTATTTTTGGGACAGAGAGAGGCAGAGCATGAACGGGGGAGGGGCAGAGAGAGAGGGAGACACAGAATCGGAAACAGGCTCCAGGCTCCGAGCCATCAGCCCAGAGCCTGACGCGGGGCTCGAACTCATGGACCGCGAGATCGTGACCTGGCTGAAGTCGGACGCTTAACCGACTGCGCCACCCAGGCGCCCCTGTTTTGGACATATTGAGCTAAACAAAATACATTATTAAAATTAAATTTTCTGTTTCTTTTTGCTTTTTTAACATGTGCCTCCTAGAAAATTTAAGTTTGCATAGGCTGCATTATGTTTTTAGTGGGCACTGCTGTTCTAGGCAGAAGCTATAGGTCACAGTAAGTCCCTAGACAAGAGCAAGGTATGCTGAGAAACTGCTAGTCATTTAACCAGAACACTGGGGAACAGAATCGGTACTGGAGGGCTCGATGGAAGCGAGATCCTTAAAGTGTCCTGTAAGACATGACAAAGATTGTGAAGGCTATCTTGAAGGCATAGTGGAATTTCTTAATGAGTTTACCATAGGAAGATTTTCTGATTGCTTTCCTTCATCAAGATGATTTACTTTCTTGTGCCACAGTGCATTTGCAAAATGTATTTTAATGGACTTGGGCACAGAGATACATGTGATGAGCTTTGACTCATTTGACTGGATCGGCTTGAGAGGTCATTCGTGAAACAGCTAAAGGACCTAGGGCAGTCCTCTTAACTTGGTTGGGTAGGTGATTTCCATTCATATTTTTGAGAAACCCTTGACGTAATGAATAAGTAGTAAACTTTGTTTAGAATATCTAGGGTGCAATGCTGGGTTATCTATTAATTCAGATCAATCATATAATTAGAGGACTAGCAAAGCAGAGGCCCAAAAAGGAAATGAAAAAAATGTTAAGTCATCGAATAACTGATATTTTACAAAATTAAAGCGGTCTTTGCCGCCTTTGGCTTGCTGTCTATATTGCTTTTATTTTGAGTTCCGTAAGGAGACGGTTTAGGAGGTCTGTATAAACTTGTCATTGCTTATGCGTCTAAAAGTCTTTATCCAGACCAACCTGGATGCGGCAAATCAGAGAGTTAAGAGAGGTCTAATAGTCAGTAGTTACTAACACAGAATCTTATATTGGGGTTGACCATTGCCACTGTTCTGATTGTTCCTTTCCTCCACTTTCCACCTGAATTCTTTCTCAAGAACCACGTCACCCTGTCTTTCTCAGCCTTGCAGTAATTTAGGTTAATCGGAACTTTGCAAGCCAGAGTTTGGCACTTAATGTCTAAACTGTCACTGCCCTAATTTCTCGTAGAGTTCTAAGTCCCACTCATTTGCAGTCGGTAAAATTTTCTGCCAGAAAACATGATAATGGGATGTTCATTTAAAGGGTAAATGTACACATTATGATACGGCTCAGTGCTTGAAACCCAAACCAGATGTGCCTGGGCAATGACTAAGCCATTTCATTTCTCCCTTCCATTCGTCAGTATGCAGCCCAGGAGTCAGGAACAGTGCTTCATTCACGGATAATTATCAGCTTCTTCCAAATGGGAAAAAAAAAAAAAATTGTGTGTGTGTGTAATTTCTCATAGTTAGAATTTTTGGAGAAAATAGTTTTCTCTCCAAGCCTTTTTCAAGAGATACTTCATGTAGGTTAGAATACATGTTCTACTGTGAGTTGAACCTCACTATTTAGAAATTATCAGTTTTCCTGAAAGCTGTCCTACATCCTCTCAGTTTCCATGCTGTCTGCCTTATCCGTGTGTTTACTTGCATACTGGCTCTTACGTAGACTATCCTGGATTTATTCACCCTGATCCAATCTTAGGCTTAGAAGAATATTCCTGGGTAGTACTTAGCTGCAAGTAACTTTGGAAAACTGAGTACTATAGTTTTGTTTCTTCTCTAAGAGTATTACTAGCATCAATATGAAGGGAAAGAGAGGGAAAAAACACAATTTGACTTTTGTCAAGGTTTGGCATTTCTTTCTGTCCATATGTGCCTTTTCACAGCCATCCACCCCCTCACCTTGTCTTTTAGATGGAGGACCTCACTGTACCATTCAGCCTAGAGGGCATAGATTTTATCCATATACCTCACATACAGTATTTGTAACATCTTTGAAATTTCTGAGGAAGTCAGGTTGGTAGCTAATCTGGAAATGAACATGAGTCTTTCGTGGCTGAAGTTGACATGCAGCTTCCTTAACGTAGGAAAAAATTTTTACATTATCCTGACTTGGAAATGTAGGCTAAGAGTTCTGAGAATCAAAATCTAAATTCTATCAGGCTGTTCCTTGTTGTTACCTGGCGTTGCGAAGCATTTTAGGGAGATAACCCATAAAGAAGCATCAAGCACAGTGCTTGGCATATATTAGAATTCAATAAATGTTAACTTCCCTGCTAAATTCCCTTTCTCTTAGTCAAACCCCTTTTACCAAAACTAGCTTATTATTTGACTGCAGCCATTGTATGTTTCCCCAGCTACCCGAGAGGCTCTATTCTCTTTTTGATAAAGATTTTGATCATGCAAAGTCAGTTAATTTCAGTCAGTTTTTTTCCCTGTATTTCCCCCCCCCTGCATTTTGATATAATGATGATTTACTATACCTGTTAATGCAATATAAATCTTCAATTTTGTTATCCACACCATCAGCAAACTAGCTTTTGTGAAAATGGAAGCTAAAAGATATTTGATAAATGTTCCGTCCTCCTCAATAGTGAAAACTGGTCCGAAAATCATTTGTCAAGGAGCTTTTTCCAAAGGTTTAGAGTTCCTCCAAGCCTTTAAGAAGTTGAAAATGTTATTAAGCATTTTGATTTCTTTTCCTTTCATCTCCTGTTTAGAAATTAATGTCTTGAAAAATTGGCTGCAAATGTTAAGGTTTTTTAAAGATATGGAATCTATTCATCTGCCTAATAAAACTGCAACATGTTAAAAATAATCGGTTCTTTGCTAGACATTTTGGCCAATCTTGGAAAGATTTTTGTCTTTGCTTTTAGACCTTCAGATGCCTTTTAGTTTCATTTTTAGCACTAGGAAAACCAAGCACTCTAATCATTTTCTAAAATGAGAATTTCAGCATGTATTCAATCTCTGATCTTTGTAAGGAAGCAAGACGTGGTTCCATTCCTGTGTTTCATAAAAGGAGATGATAGACAAATAGGTAATTTAAGTGATTGTGCACCAGCCCTTTGGGTTTCTGTTTTTTCCCGTCTAGATTGTGTCTTCTTTTTACTGCAGAATGTATCAGTATCCAAAAAGGTCCTCTGGTTTATCTTCTTTGTGGGATCGTTGTTGCATACAGTTTTGTATAAAGAAGCAATTCAGAGACTGTCCCAATATGTTTGCATATGGACGTGCATATGGTCGATTTTAGCTTTAACTTCAAATTTCCTTGAATACGTAGGCTGTGTGTATTCCCATAATGGTAGTTGAGCAATTTCTTTGTGATGGTTCAATTTCTTTCTCTCTCTTCTGCCTTTCCCCCTCCTTTTTCTTTATACAGTAGTAACCTTCCTAAAAAAGGCCTATTTAAAAAAAAAAAAAAAAGTAACACCCATGCAAGCAGGCGCCAGAAAGTTTAGATAACAGTCCCATCACATTTGGCTGTTTGGCTAGAGCTGGCTGTAAATAGAATGGAATGTGGTGTTATGAGTCCCTTACTCCAGTGTACAACACTGCCCCAGGATGAGTCTCACCGTCCATTTGTATTTATTGATTTCCAGGATGTGCTGGGTGGTCTGGAACAACACAATTACAGCCTTCAGCTGAGACATACAATCTACATGGAAGTGAATCAGGCAGTCCATTCTGTTTGTGGGACTTCACCCGGTCAATCATTTAGGCCTGATAGCTGTTGTCAAGGGAATTGTGTTTTACTGAGTATTTCAGTGGAGGCCCACCTCGGATTTTCAGAAGTGATTTTTAGGAGTGAGAGCTCTGCAAACATGTAGGTACTCCACACTTCTTCCACTTAAACCTGTAAAAACAAATCATGGAAACCTTTGTCAATTCACTCAGCTTAACTACCTTGGCAAGGTCTTTCCTATGACTAGGCATCAAACCTGGCTTTCATTCTCCATTTTCTTAGAGAGTCTCAGGGAGTAAGGATTACCCTTCAGCCTCTTTGATGCAATGAAGGGTGTAAGGGTAAGTGTTGAAATTGATTAACTGACTGGTGATTGATTGATTTTTTTCAACGAATATTCATTTAGACTCTGTTAGGTTTCAAGTACCCTTAACATACAGTTGTCAATCGGACAGATGCAGATTGTAGGGGGAAACAGACATGAAACAACGAGTTAATTATTAATTATTTAATTACAATTGGTCATCAAACTCTGAAAGAGAAATAGTGTACTATAAGAACAAATGATAGGAAACCTGACCTCATCTCAAGTCTCAGAAAGGAAATGATTGTTGAGTTCGGTGTAATTTTAGACAGTATGTGTATATCGGAGAAGAGGAGGAGGAGACAGTATGGGGAGGCTATTATAAGGAGCAAGGGAACAGCTTGTGCAAAGGCCTTGGGGAAGGAAAGGAGCACAGTATATACTAGGGACCGAGTAGCTCAAGGTGGCTGGAAAATAAAGGGATGAGTGGGAAGTAGGAGGGAAAACCCACGAGGGAGACGAGTCTAGACCACGCAAGGCCTCGTGGGTCCTGTTAATGATTTAGGTCTTTCCTTAAAAGTTATGTGAGGCCATTGAAATGTTTTAGACAGTAATTGACATGATCAGATTCCTGTTCCCTTAGCAAAGATTATTCCGATTGAAGTGAAAGAATAGATTGGAGGAGAATAAATATAGACCCAGGATCCAAGTTAAGAGACTGTTATGCTAGTCCACAAAGAGATGCTGGCACCTCGGTTTAGAGGAGATCGAGTAAGAGAGACAGACCAGACAGGTATTTAGGAGGTAAAATCAACAGAGCCAATGAATGATTGGATGTATAGAGGGGACTAAAAGGGAAGAATCGATGTATAGAGGGGACTAAAAGGGACTAAAAGGGAAGGCGCTCAGGTTTTTGTCCTGAATCTTGGCTAGATGACATTAACTTCACTGACATTAAGACCATTGGAGAGAGACCTACTGGGGAGAGGGTGGAACTGGAGCACTGGGTTTGGGTAATGGTCTAGTTTGAAGTGCTCAGGGGACATCCAGCTCGAGATGTCAGATAGACAGTTGGCTATTTGCATCTGAGTCTCCGAGGAACTTCTCTTATCAAAACAGAAATATGAGCGTTGCCTGTGGTAAAAGAAGATGATGAACGGATGATCGGATCACTCTAGTCTGTAAATTGCTCAGTTACGTTTCACAAGTGCTTACTGAGTTTTCACTCTTTCCCAGGCCTTTTGCTAAATACTGGGCATATGAAAAGGAAAGACATGCAGGGAATAACATAGAGTATCTCTTTGCCATAAGCCCAGATTACTTTGTACCTCATCCGAGACAGGATACCCTCAGTACATCTGGAGGAAACTCTTCGGCAAGCTGAATCCATGCCTTAGTCCTGTGTGTTTCCTAATCTTGGCTCCCATCTAACTTAAAGCTTGCAACCTATAAGTTCACTTCATTCTTGTTTGTTCTCAGTAGGCATATAGACGAGTTGGTAAGCACATTCTTTCCATTGACGCCCTATGTTCTCGAAAAACCTTGCCTTGGTTTGGAGGGACATCATCACCTTTGGCCTTGTCTTCTTGGAATGACAAATACAGGATTGCTTCTTACACTGAGAAGTGTTTTTTACTGTTTCCTGAAAAAGGAGTCCATCCCTGGGCTGTCAGATATTATTCCCATATTTTGTAGGCTATAAATTGCTGATGACTTTCAGATTATGATGATATTGACTCCACTTCTGAAAATTAGGCCACACCCTTCTAGTCTGTTCCTAAAATAAGATTCATTGCTAAAGTGAAATTTATAGCTTCTTTTATAGCTCTTATTCTGCAGAGACCCATGGCTTAAAATAGCCTACATTTTAAGACTGTATTTTCATATTATTGTCTTTGGACCACCTGCATCAGAATCACTGGGGTGTGCTTATTAAAAATGAAGATTGTTGAATCGTATTTTCTAATTTTTTTAATATAGCCAGGATAAACCCCAATAATTTGCATTTTTAATAAGCACCCCAGGTAATTTTTATTTATACTGGAGTTTAAGAATCGTTGTTTCGAGGGATGTCTAAATTTGTACATCTCATTATTCGAATCCCGAGTTAAATGAGAAATTAAACAGTTTTGCAAGCCAGGTCAGTTTCTTACCAATTTGGAAGATGAATAATCAAGTCATAGGTGTTAAAATATTTAACCGGTATCTTCCAGCTGTCCAGAGATAAAAAGATTGCATTGCCCATATTTCTTTTGTAATACATAGACGCTCATTTGAGAGAAGAACAGAGCTGGAGAGCAAAAGCAGAAGAGTGAGATCCAGGGTAGGGTGCGCGGGAGAAAGAGCAGTACTGGAGAAATGGACACGAAAACTGGGGTCACGTGTTGTCTCTCATTCAGTTTTAGTGTATGTTTTGCTTTCACTGGCATGCTCTGTGGGTTCTTGGTGCGCATGAGCATACATGTATGAATGTTTCTAGAGATGTAACTTCCTTCCTATCTCCAGAACTGGCAAAAGTCTCTCCTTACTCCCCCCCACCCCTTCCCCAGGAAGAACGCCGTGTGATTTACGTTGGTAAAATCAGACCTGACACAACACGGACGGAACTGAGGGACCGTTTTGAAGTTTTTGGTGAAATTGAGGAGTGCACAGTAAATCTGCGGGATGATGGGTAAGAATCTTCAAGATTATTTCTTGTTTAGAGGCTGACATATGTAAAAAATTATGGCCATAAGATTACTAGGATGGGAATGCTTTGACAGATGACATGTTGAGTTCAGAACCTTATTTATTTTCTTTTATCCCTATTTATTAATCTTTCTAGTTGAGATTTCCTGTCCCAGAAATAAGTATTTAGCTGCTTGACAGGACAATCACACTGATAAATGGATGCAGCGGTTGAGACGTTGGCACCAGCGAAGTCTCCCGAAGTAAGGAAGGGTTACAGGCATATATGTTAATCCTTCCTCACCAGCTTTGATCCTCTCTTCTTTGTCTGTTCCAGAGACAGCTATGGTTTCATTACCTACCGTTATACCTGTGATGCTTTTGCTGCTCTTGAAAACGGATACACTTTGCGCAGGTCGAATGAAACTGACTTCGAGCTGTACTTTTGTGGACGCAAGCAATTTTTCAAGTCTAACTATGCAGACCTAGGTATGGATTTTATTGTACATGGAATGAGGAATCCATAATGTAAGGCTCAAAAAATGGAAGCAGATGTAAACCATAGGCATATTGGGTTGGGCCATCATTTTATTTTGCTAGGGGGAATGTTTGAATACATATTTTATCTTATTTCTAATTTTTTATCATCTGGGCCATTCTCAGAAGCAAGGGGCTTAGGTTTTAGAAACAAAGGACAGAAGTGAGTTCTTTGTAGTATCTTCTCAAATGCTGAAAGTCTGGGCTATTTGCATATGTGTATGTTAGCAAGCGTTTATGGTGTGTGTGTGTGTGTGTGTGTGTGTGTGTCTTTATTGTGTAGGTTTGCAGTGCGACTCCTTTTGTATAAACCTTAGCATTATCACCATTGGCTCATGGGACAGAATTTGCAAAAGTCTGGTTCTTTTTTCCTTATTGTCCTACAAACTCTTAAAAATGTTAAGACATATTCTACAAATTACACCTTGAGAAGAGAAAATATAATTTCATATGCTAAATCACACTATACTTTCTTTAAAACAAAAGGAGAGGGAAAAAAAAACAACAACCCTGTTCTGTTTTTAGTGTTTCCAGATGCTAGGCACTGTTCCCCGGGGCTCTGCAAGCATTTTCTTATTTAATTACTACAGAACAATCTTAGAAGGTGGCTATTGTTACTGTCATCTCCCTTTGACAGATAAGGAAACTGAAGCATTTCTAAGTATTCATTTTTCCTGTTACAAAAGTTATACGGACTCAAGGGGTAACATTTGGGAAATATAAAAAAGTACTAAGAAAAATCGTCCTATCACCTATCGGCACATCACCTAAAGGTCTGCTGTGTGATTTGCAGTCCAGTGTTTTGTCTCCGAATGTCTAATTTCTTACAGTTGAGGTCACATCATATAGATTTATAAAGCTTTAAATTCTACTTTTCTCAGTTAATACTATAGAAGTTCATTTTCCACTGTGATTCATGGGAGTCAAAATAATTTATCAACTTATTTGAATGGTTGCACTGTATTGTGTTAGGTGAGTACCATTGTATTTAATCATTCCAGTACAGCTAAACATTTATTTAATTGTCAATTTTTTGGCATTATAAATAATGCCAAAATGGACATCTTAATTTTCTTCTCCATTTTAATTTGGTGCCTTTGCATGTCCGTCCCTATTTAATGTGTGTATTGTAAGCCTTTAAATTCTTAGATGAAAGAATGAAGGAAGGGAAATGGCAAATGTCTTGTGCATATGACATAATTATTTAAATCAATTTGTAACAATAATCATAAAATTAACATAGAAACCTCTTCCGAAGCATTACTCTGTATCTGTCTGCACTTGCTTTGGCTTGGTGTAAAGAAAGAAATGAATACCAAATACGGGGATTTTTTTTTCTCCCTTCCACCGAAGTGATGTCTTCCTAAAGTAATTGATATAGGTGGTGTGCATTGTTCGGGGGGGAATATGCTATAACTCACTTCACAGGCTAAATAGATAGTGTGAAGCAGGGGAGCGGCAGCTGACTGTCAGAGAGATAGAGGCCTAGGGATGAAAATATAAAAGGTGGCAAGTCATTTGTTCAAATGTTGGCTGATAAAAACGGTCAAGACGGATTGAAGTCTTAAGTTGATTTGACTTATTTTCTTCAGTGATGAAGGCCAGGGTGTTTCCAGTCTTTCAAAACATCTAGAGTTTAAAATAAGCTACCTAGAGGGGCCTTTAAATCACGATTCATCACTGGTAGAGGGAGGATTGGATGGTATTTCCAAATTGAACCGGAGCCTCCCTGAAATATTTCTAAGAAGAATGTTTCCCCTCTTGTTATCTCTCTGTCTAGCCAGCAGCAATAGAAACTTTGCCGTCGCTAAGCTGGCTCTGTATTCTGTGAAAAGTAGGTTTGATGTGTATTGTAGCAGCATGGCTTTTTCCAATTCCCTCAAGCCCTACAATTTCACGAAGGGTAGTCGATTGGAGTGTAGTTGCTCTGTAGTGGAAAGACCCCTGGCTTTGGAATCTTACAGACCTGGTTTTGAAACCTGACTTAAATTCTGACCTTGAACAAACAATTACACTTCCTCTGCTTCCAGTCCTTCATTTGTAAACCACTCCATAATGTTGTTGCAGAGATTAAATAAATGTTTGTGAAGCTGTTAGCACAGTGTCTGTGTGAAGCTGTTAGCACGGTGTCTGGTAGAAAGTAGGTGCTCAATAAATAGAAGCTATGATTGTGATTATAAATGATGGTCATGAGAAGTTAGAAATACCAGTTATTTTATTTTTTTAATGTTTATTTTTGAAAGAGAGAGAGAGAGACAGAGACAGAGTGTGAGTGGGGGAGGGGCATAGAGGGAGACACAGAATGTGAACCAGGCTCCAGGCTGCAAGCTGTCAGCGCAGAGCCTGACTCGGGGCTCAAACCCACTGACCGCGAGATCATGACCTGAGCTGAAGTGGGTCGTTTAGCCGAATGAGCCACCCAGGCGCCTCTGTAATTTCAAGTTATTTTCAAATGAAAGCGTCAGCGTCAGGGATCAGCTTCGGAACTGAACGACATTCATATGTGTCTTGTTTTTGTCCCCTGAAGATGTTCGGTGCAATGCTTCAGGGAACGTCCGGTGAATTTGGTGAACATGAGACCAGACTGGACACTTGGAGGGATCGGGAGCTCATATGTGTGTCCAGAGTTAGTGAAAATGATGTGATATAGATTAATTTTACCAGGAGTAAAGTGACCTATCATTTTAGGTAGATTTAACCAGTTTTTTTTTCTGTTTTTATTGGCTCCCCAAGCCAAGTTAGCTCACACATCCTATCCCTCTGCTATGGAGGCCACCTAGTGATTACCACAATGCTATTAGTGCACAGTGTAATGATTCCAAGTTAATATCATGAGCCACTTTTATAAGTGAGACTCAAGAGTTTAAAGGGACAATCAAAGTTACCGAGGTCAAGCCAGGATTTAGGCCTGGTTTCCATGAATCTGTAATCTGTGAGTCTGTCTGTTTACTGTCTTGTAACCACATGGATCTTTCTGAAAGACCTCGATGAAAAATCTTGAAGAGGAAAGACAGAAATTAAATTAGGACTGTAGGACCAGAAGAGAAGGATGGGTCAGTATTAAGAATATAATAATTTGGGGTGCCCGGGTGGCTCAGTTGGTCGCGCACCTGACTACGGCTCAGGTCCCTAGCTCCCTGTTCGTGAGTTTGAGCTCTGCATCGGGCTCTGTGTTGACAGCTCGGAGCCTGCTTCAGATTCTGTGTCTCCCTCTCTTTCTGCCCCTGCCCTGCTCGCACTCTGTCTCTGTCTCTCTCAAAAATAAACATTAAAAAAAGGTACAAAAAGGAATATAATAATTTTCTCATCAGGAATTAGTTATTGCATAAAACTTATACTAAGAAAAATAAAATCAATAACATATCCATCACAAATTATTAACTCAAAAAATGTATTACATTATCAGCATCTTGAATATATCCATAACTTTATATATACCCTTGGCATTAATTGGTACATCATCCCAAGATCCCAACACAAATATTTTCAACCACTTTTTTTTTTTTTTTTAGTATGCTGGCATTCAAGATTAATACATTCATTCAAAAAATATTCATTTTAGTACCTCCTTTGTGCCAAAAGTTTTCTAGGCAGTAGGAATACCGTTGTAACATGATGTGTTTCTATTTATACGGTATCATTATTTGTAACAACTTATTTATTTTTAATAACTAGAGTGGCTTTGGGGTTATTCCCTTAAAACTTTTATTATGTCTTAGTTGTGTTGCGACATCCTTCTTTAGTGGCAACAAAGAGGTATTGTCGATGTTATTTTCTCAGGAATTGTACGTAACCACATTCTGTATTCATGCGACGACAAAGAGTTTGCAGATGCCCGTAGTGTGACATAGTATGCCCGTATAAGTGATTCCATCTATGTGAATACCAGCCAGCACGTTTCATAGTGAAGAAACTCTTGAGAGCCACGGTTTTGAAGCATCTTTTGCTAACGAACATATGGAAACCCTGAAACTCTGGGTTTGATGTAGAGTGACCCAAAGTTAAGATATTTTAAGTCTTCTCAGAATTTCCTTCAGGAAAGATATGTATGTGTGCTCTTGATGTTTCAGTGATGACCTTAATGCCACAGAGTCCAGCCATCAGGGAGCTCGTCCAACTTTATTTGTAATGCAAGTGGAATTCTGATTTCAAGTTAATGTCAAGCCACGAGCAGGACTTCGTGTGTGTGTGTGTGTGTGTGTGTGTGTGTGTGTGTGTGTGTGTGTGTTTCTACAAGAAAGACTTTGATTGGAACAACCGCTGGTCGTGAGGCTTTAGTGATATGAGCCAACTGCTCATCAGGCTATGAAGAGAAGGGTGGGAGCCAGTGTGATTTAAGAATTGACTCCTGGAGATTTTAGTGAGGAGCGATTTTTTCCCCTTTCTTTTATGTCCGGCCGACTGCAATTGCTGTTCTTACCTGGAAAAACTGGATTGACAAAACGTCAGTAAATACAAGGGATGGTAAGAGTGAAAGGAAAAACAAAAGTGAAGGAATTTCCTTGCCTTTAAGTCTGAGATGGTTAAAGGAGCTCGAAGCGAGGAGGGGAAATCAGCCTGGTACTGGAGAGCTTGAGGGATTGCAACCTTTTCAGCAGAACAGCTTGTGAGGTCAATGAGTATGCCTCCACATTATCTACTCTTACACTCTCTGTCACTTCGGACATTTCTATTTTGTAACTTATTCTGGATAAAACATACAAGGTTCATATTTTAGTAGGATTGTTAATGTTTCCCAGAGAGGTCTTGTTTTCCCTGCAAATAAGTGCTTTCAAATGAATGAGTTCATTTGCAAGAAGAGGCTTCCTATTCTGTCTCCAAGATACCTTTTCCTCATTTGCAAGACCGGCAAGAAATATCTGACTTTTTTATAAATGTCAGTGGAGGAAAATCAGAAATATTTAGAATCAGAATTCCATTTCATACCCATTGCTGCTGGAACATGACAGTTTTGTTAAGGGCTATGTGAAGTACGTGGAACTCTTCACAAAAGCTGACTTGGACTAGTGTAGGAATTCAAAGAAGACCGTGGTTTTATTCTTACCTGTGAATTTTTCCTCTCGTATTCTTGGGTAAAGAGGTTGACTTTACCTTCTCTGGACCTGAAGTGTTTCCCTGAACCTTCTCATGTGGGCATAATTTGTGCCACTATTGCTGGGGTTTCCCCAAGGTACTAGAATAGATCAATGGATCATATGTCCCTCCTGCCTCAAAGGGGAGCAGTCAGGTGGCGAATGGGTGAAATTCTAATGATTCTCCCTCCTGCCCACCCTCCTGGCTTTTATGCTCTGTGAAATCCATCCTATTGGATAGGGAAATTAATTCCAGCTTCTACTCTTACCTGTCCACCTAAGTTGTCGAGGAACCTTGGGTAAGTCATTTAACATGCCAGAAAGGGGGCCGGACATGGTTTTTTTTAAAGTATATTGATTGAATGTGTTGCTATTGAATGGAAATACTAAGTTTGTTCTGATTATCTCTAGGATTGTTTAAGACTAAAATGAGTCAATAAATGAGTGTTTTGAATGCTTCCCACCCCTTACCCTCTGCAAATATATGTGTATTTTAAATACTTATTTTTATGTATTATATATAATTATATATATAAATTCATAAGTATACTGATATATTATTCATAAATTATTATGTGAATTATATATATCAATAGCATGCCAATAAAGTATAAGTATACTGATATATTATTCATAAATTATTATGTAAATTATATATATGTATCAATAGTATGCCGATAAAATATTGGGTGTATATACCCTCTGCAAATATGTACTTATATAAGTTTACATCAATATTGATGTTGATGTCAATTATATTTATATCAATTAATATCAATATTGATATTTATGGCAATATATCTATCTAGATATAGATATAGATATAGATATAGATATAGATATACCGACAAAATTGGGTATATTTTTTTTAACTGGACAAGTTGTATTTGAATCAGGTAATCTTGAATTGGATGATTGAGTTAATGACACTTGGCAAAGGGTGTCTCTAACCTAGCTTGGGTTTCTTGCAGATTCAAACTCAGATGACTTTGACCCTGCTTCCACCAAGAGCAAGTATGACTCTCTGGATTTTGATAGTTTACTGAAAGAAGCTCAGAGAAGCTTGCGCAGGTAACATGTTCCCTGGCTGAAGATGACAGAGGGACGGTGAATACCTCACGGGACAGCGCGTCCTTCCCTAACTGACTACTGCAAGTCATACTTAGGAATTTCTCCTACTTTACACTCTCTGTATAAAAACAAAACAAAACAACAACAATACAACAAGAACAACAACAACAATGGTTTACATGAACACAGCTGCTGAAGAGGCAAGAGACAGGAAGGATATCCAGTAAGCACGTTTATTCATGGGTGTCAGCTTTGCTTTCCCTGGAGTCTCTTGGTGACGGAGTGTGTGTGTGTGTGTGTGTGTGTGTGTGTGTGTGTGTGTGTTTGCGCGCACGGGTGTGTGCGTGGGTGCGGGTGTATGGGCGTGGGTGTGCGCGCATGCGCACGGCTGGTGTGGGGGAAGTCTGTGTGTACAGGTGGGGACTGGGGGCACGTGACCAGAGTGTGCCCGGGCGACTCGCTTCAAATGGCAGCAGTTCCATGAAGACGCACGTAAAACCTAGAACTTCAAAATGTTCATACTCTATTCAAAAAGAAAAAAAAATGCATAAATTCAAAAGGAAAGCAAACTAACCAACCGACCACAAACCACCCTAAAATGACAGCCACCGATGTCTGGGCATCAACCTCCGTACTCTGTTTTTTAAGAAAGTGCAAAATCAACTTGAAGCAAGCTTTCTCTCGTAATGTAATGGTTATCTGACAATCCCGAAGAAACCACAGTTTCGGTAGAACTAATATCCTTTCTCTCTCTCTCTCTCTCTCTCTCTCTCTCTCTCTCTCTCCCCCTCCCGCTCTCTCCGCGTCCCCTCCCCCTGTCTTTCCTCTCTCCCTCCTCCTTTCTCCCTCTCTTTCTTTTTCTTCTCTTTTTCCTTTTGCCATGGAGTCTGGGTGGGAGAGGATACTGCGGGCGCCAGAATGCTAAACTTTCCTAACATTTTGAAGTTTCTGTAGTTCATCCTCTATCCTGACACCCATGTAAATGTCCCACATGTTGATCTTCCACTGCAAATTTCAAAAGCCTTGTAAATGGTCGAGCGCGCGGCTTATTCAGTGGTTCTTTCTGAGGAGCGGGCACGGTGTTACATTACTGAGGAGAGTTGGGTAGAACTCTCTGGTATGTGTTCAGATAGTGTCATTGCTACATTCTCTGATGTAGTGAAGTATTTACAGATGTTAAATGGAGTATTTTTATTTTGTGTGTATACTATACAACGATGTTCTTTTTTGTTACAGCTATGCACTGTAAATGCAGCCTTCTTTTCAAAACTGCTAAATTTTTCTTAATCAAGAATATTCAAATGTAATTATGAGGTGATACAATTATTGTACACTAACATATTTAGAAGCTGAACTTACCGCTTATATATATTTGATTGTAAAAAAAAACAAAAAAGACAGTGTGTGTGTCCGTCAAGTGCAACAACAAAATGATGCTTTACGCACATCCATCCCTTCTTACGTGAGCGTCAATCTGAGCATCTTGTCAAGAAATACCCCAGCCCCCCCTAAAGGTATTAACCACTTACGCGATATTTTTCCACATTTTCTTGTTGCTTGTTTTCCTTTGAAGTTTTATACACTGGATTTGTTAGGGGAATGAAATTTTCTCATCTAAAATTTTTCTAGGAGATATCATGATTTTATGTAAAGTCTCTCAATGGGTAACCATTAAGAAATGTTTTTATTTTCTCTATCAACAGTAGTTTTGAAACTAGAGGTCAGAAATCTTTTTAAAATGCTGTTTCGTTTTAATTTTTGTGATTTTAATTTGATACAAAATGCTGAGGTAATAATTACAGTATGATTTTTACAATAATTAATGTGTGTCTGAAGACTATTCTTGAAGCCAGTATCTCTTTCCCTTGGCAGAGTATGATGATGGTATTTATCTGTATTTTTTACAGTTACGCATCCTGTATAAATACTGATGTTTCATTCCTTTGTTTACTAAAGAGACATATTTATCAGTTGCAGATAGCCTATTTATTATAAATTATGAGGGGATGAAAATAATAAAGCCAGTGGAAATTTTCTACCTAGGATGCATGGCGACTGTCAGGTTGCAGTTGAAATGTTTCATTTGGAAAATTCAGCTTTTGCAGAAGCGGTGTTTCTACTTGCACTAGCTTGGCCTCTCACGTGACCATGATGTTGTTCTTGATGACATTGCTTCTGCTAAATTCAATAAAAACTTCAGAAAAACCTCCATTTTGAGCATCAGGATTTCATCTGAGTGCGGAGCCCCTGGAAAGGAAGTCAGGAAAGTTTGGAGTGTGTATTCAAGTTTCTAAATTGAGATTCGATTACAGTTTGGCCGACATGACTTTTCTGGAAGATGTGATACACCTACTACTTAATCGTTCTTTTCCTTTCTCTCGCCCAACACAATCTTAGAGAACGGATTTCACCCCCAGGCCAATGCAGCTAATTTTGATAGCTGTATTCATTTATCACCAGCATATTGTGTTCTGAGTGAATCCACTGTCTGTCCTGTCGGATGCTTGCTTGATTTTTTGGCTTCTTATTTCTAAGTAGATAGAAAGCAATAAAAAAAAAAATATATGAAATCAAAGAACTTGTTCACAGGTTCTGCGTTACGGCAGTAACACATCTTTAATCTGCCTAATTCTTGTTGTTCTGTAGGTTAAATGCAGATATTTTAACTCTGTGTGAACGCCAAACTAAAGTTTACAGTCTTTCTTTCGGAATTTTGAGTATCTTCTGTTGTAGAATAATAATAATAAAAAAAAGACTATTAAGAGCAATAAATTATTTTTAAGAAATCAATATTTAGTAAATCATATTATGTGTTCAAGGACCAGATGCGTTCTCTATTTTGCCTTTAAATTTTTGTGATCCAATTTTAAATACATTCTCCTTTTTGCCCTGGATTGTTGACATGAGTCAAATACTTGGTTTCTTTTCTTACTTTTCAAAAAGACAACACTACAGATTTCACGTTGAGGCTTAATTTATCCCCACTCTGGCCTGACAAATATTGTTACCATGAAGATAGTTTTCCTCCACGGACTTCAAATTGCATCTAAAATTAGTGCAAAAAAGAGAATCACTAAACCGTCCGAGTAGAGCTTTTTGTATCTTATGCAGACCCTGTGGGTAGGCCATCAAAATGTAAACTGTGTTCCTCTTACTTTTATTTGTAATTTTTTTTTTTTGGAGAGAATCTTTCCAATGAACACATGCACACCATCATCACTGGAGGCAAATTTCAGCATAGATCTGTAGGATTTTTAGATGACCGCGGGCCATTGCCTTCTTGCTGTGGTAAGTACCACATCTACAGTTTTGGGAACCGAACCGGTGCTTTAGAGATGTGGGCTTTTTTTTTCTTCCTTTTTTTTTTTTTTAAAGAGATGTAGCAGAATAATTCTTCCAGTGCAACCAAATCAATTTTTGCTAAACGACTCCGAGAACAACGCGGTTGGGCTGTCAACATTCAAAGCAGCAGAGAGGGAACTTTGCACTATTGGGGTGTGTGGTTGGGTCAGTTGAAAAAAGGAAACCTTTTCATGCCTTTAGATGTGAGCTTACAGTAGGTAATGATTATGTGTCCTTTTTCGATGGCTGTAACGAGAACTTCAATCACTGTAGTCTAAGACCTGATCTATAGATGACCTAGAATAGCCATGTAATATAATGTGATGATTCTAAATTTGTACCTATGTGACAGACATTTTCAATAATGTGAACTGCTGATTTGATGGAGCTACTTTAAGATTTGTAGGTGAAAGTGTAACACTGTTGGTTGAACTATGCTGAAGAGGGTAAGTGAGCGATTAGTTCAGCCCTTGCCGGGCTTTTTTTTTTTTTTTTTTCTTTCTTTTTTTTTTTTTCTTTTTTCCACCTGCCGATTCTACATGTATTGTTGTGGTTTTATTCATTGTATGAAAATTCCTGTGATTTTTTTTAAATGTGCAGTACACATCAGCCTCACTGAGCTAATAAAGGGAAACGAATGTTTCAAATCTCCTTCTGCTTTTCTTATTTATTGTAACCAAACTCCTGGCATGTTTCTCAGATCGGTACCCATTACTCGCTTATTATTATTCTATTTCCTCTCTGGATCTCCCTCCCTTTCTCCCCGCTTTTCCATATTCATGGATGGATTTCAGCTGTAAGGTAACGTAGACCTTCTGTGTGTTACCTTCTCTTCTTTCAAATGGCAGAGGCAGAAGTGCTTTCTATCACGAGCAGTGACGTGAGACTTTATGAAATGGATTGCCTCTGTTTTTGTACAGAAATTGTGTCTTCCTGAGTACAAGCCATTGCCCCTAGTGAGAAACCTGCTGAATATTCAGCTTAGGAAGCAATTCCGTGGACGGACTGAACACGTTTCGAAGACTTGTTAACAGGACGCAGCCCCCATCATATGTAAGTCATCAGGTTAAATATGGGACGAGCCGATAGCCGCTGACACAGCTTGCCGTCAGGATGTCTGTCCGCTGTGCCTCGCAGGTGACTGGTGGTCCTGATGACAGAGATGACAGAGGGCACACTTATTAGGGCTCTGTCCTCTCCTGATTTCAGATGGTCGTCCCCGGTCCCAGCCACCTGCATTGCAAGACCCACCCTAAACATTGGGGCACTGGGGGGAAGGTGGCTAAATATATCCCAGCCCTCGCCCCCCTCCGTCTCCTAGAGCAAAAAAGTGTGTGTAATTCTTGGAAACAGTACATTGGAACCTGCCGAATAACACAAGAAGCGCTGCCCATTATTTCTATTTTATGCCACTCTAAGATTTGCCAGTCACGTTAGCAAAATAGAAAATTAAAATTGCCATTATCTAACCCAAATACCATCCTCATCGACAACCGTGGGCATGAAGCACTCCTGGAGATTCGGTAGATCACCCTCAGATTCTGACCCGTCTCGGTTGATGCTTAAATTGTATACGACATTTTCAATCTTCTGGCTGGACCCAGCAAGGACATTAGAATAACGCGAGTATTTCTCTTAAAGGGTTTAAAGGTTAACTTTTTACCCTTCAAAACCTGTGGAGAGTAAAGAGGGAATTTGCAGAAGCAGCAGTAGTAGCCGCTGGTCTGATACGAGGATGTTCTGCTTCAAAACAAAAGATTTCTTTTTCATGTTGTCCTCAAAACATTAAATCACTCCCATCCTTGATGACACGAATGGCAAAGACAATTATTGGGACCAAAATTAGGCTGGTAAAAAGAAATGAGCGCTGAATATGAATGGCTTACTTAAGGGGAGCTTGTCTCAATGCAGAAGTCCTCTAAACGAAATCTGCCTCAACTGTACAATGTGATATTCAAAATTCTTTTTCAGCATTGCCGGTTTTCTCTCCGTTGTAGGATTATTTAGCTAATCAGTGGATATAATTTACAGCCCCAACGTTAGTATACTCATTTGACACTAGTGTTACGAGCTACACAGTTGTAACTCAGCATTAATTACAGAATATTTTAACCAAAGCATCCTTTTCGCAATATTTACTTTGTATTAATCTCGTATTTTGCAATTCCTGTTGCCATTCCTTGTTTTCAAACACATTATACGCCATTATAAATCAATCTTCGTACTTTATCAAACAGCAGAGAGTAATAAAGAAGGTCACAACTCATAGAGGAGTTCCTTGGAGGTTTGTAACATCATGATTTAAATCTCAGAAAGATTTAATCAAAAGCTGAATTAATCCCTGGGGGAAAAGATGCTATATAGATTCTATTGATGGGCACAAAGCAGCCTATTTCTTTTCATTGGTCTCTGTTAACACGTTGGGGAGAAGAGACACAGTTTTTCGGCGAGAACGGAAACAAGATGTCTTGATGGGGGAAGGATAGTATGAGATGGCCTTTATGCCACGTTTCTTCCCTTTCAGAATGGTCTGTTTCATTCTACTTACAGAGGCATTATCTGTTCTAATGCACGGTTAAGTTCAATGTCCTCCACCTCCTCGTTCCTTTCAATGTATCCCACGTGATTCTAGTAATTCTGCAAAGTCCCCAAAGCTCCACTGCAGTCAAGCATGTGGAATGTGAGGGTCACATGAGCTGACTCTTCTGTTGTAATCAGGTGACCGCCCCTGGGCAAATTCTCAGCGTTTGGGGGACACTGGAAACTTGCGGGAAGAAATGATCATAATATGCGAGTATTTCTAGGATCAGGTTCCACTGAAAAGCTTATCATCATTCCATGACTGGGATGTATGCTAAAGAGGCCATCACCTTCCCATATGCCTCTTTTCTACCCATCATTCCCTAGAAATGTGGCCATATTCCTGTTAGCTCAAAAACCATTACTTACCGTCAGCTGACTTCTAGCAGGGGCAAAGTGGAATTAATTAATTGAAAAAAGTGAGAGAACTTTTAGAGGAGAAAACCAAATGATCCTATAATATTTTCATGATTAAATTAAATGAGCATAATTATACATGCACATATGCACACCAAGGCATTATTATAATCAAGGAACCTTAGAATATTATATTGTTCCAAATTTATGCATATAGCACTTACTGGAGACAAGTAGCTGGTGTGATATTTGAATCTGCATATTGACCATTTTCATATATTTTCATATATTAATTTCTAGGAGGAAGATGCTGAATTATTAGGAAAAATCCTGGGGTGATTTAGAAAAAATATTGTGCGTCCGCTCGTTTTTGAACATCAGGGGCACTTAGCAACATTATCTTTTCTCCCCACATAGTTTTCTGTGATGGATTTTCAACAAGATGACATCCAAGTGAAAGCCGAAATTAAATGGGAAGGAAAGAATGTTAAGTGGTAAAATCCTAAATAGCTTATTAGACTACTTAATTGGAGGGAATTTATTTTTGCTGCTGTTAGGAACTCCATAGTCAAGCTTCTCTCTAACAATACTAATTGATGGGGGAAAAAAGTAGCTATAGTAATATAGTTACCGCACAATACCCTCCAGCAGGTCATTTAAGGGAATTCACCGGTACTTTCCTTTGATTGACTTCTGTGTTGTTGAAAATCACGTCCTGTCTTCATTCATACCATTGCTCTCTCACTTCACTTCCAACTAGGCCTCTTGCCTATTCCTACTGAGATTCTCAGTGTGCTGAAAGACTTGAAGGACAGTGAGACCATGCTTGTTCCTGGTTTAACCATTTAGACCATTTTCAGCTTGATTGCTATATCCGTTAATAAAGTGATTAGTGTTTCATAATGCATAGAGGTATTGCCCCGCCCATGAGCATTTTACTATTTGTTGGCAGGAATATGTGTACCCTATCAGGGAATAAGGATCAATTACTTCCTAGAGCAGCTTAAGTTAGTAAACTGGCCACACAGTATGTGATGTCACCATATTACTTTCATGTCACGTAACTTAATGATCAAGTTCAACGCGTGGCCTAATTTTCCTCCAGTTATCTGGCTACATGGGGAAAACATCCTGATCCCTATTCAATAAGGTACCTTTCCCAGGGTCAGCAATCCAAACTGCCGTTCAGACCGTCCAACAGGAAAATAACTGGAGGAAACGTAAAAACTGGCGGTCACTGCCCACTGTTTGCCTCAGTGTCTGAAGATTAGAAGTACCTGTGTATTGGAAAATGACATTTTCCAATTTTTAATGGCAGGTTTGGTGGCCATACAAAGAAGCACCAGTGAATGCACCTGATGAATGAAACAATTCATAGAGAGCCCATAAGAGTTTCTTTGTCACATGGTACGAGAGTCTCACTGAGCCACCTTCTGCCATGGCAAAGACGAAGACTAGAAAGGTCAGCTGGTGAAAAGACAAGAAATAAATAGAAGGTTAACCAAACACATTGGAACTTTGGGTACAAAACAAGGTTTGGGCAAAGATTCCTCATGGTTTCTTATTTGCTTTTCATGCCAACTCATTCCATGGGATTCTATAAACAAAAGAGGCAATTGTACAGCTGAGGCAGTAGAGTTGTGAAGAAGATAATGGACTTGACAATGCTTGTTCCATGTGTGTGCGTGGCTGTGTGTCAGCTACACAGCAGTTGGCCTTCACTGACCTGATGTTGTTCTGAGGAGTTGATTGAAATCCTGCCTATTGCCTCGGCTACTGGATTGGTGGAAGGCTTTTAGGGATTTCCATAGCCAGGTTTTTGGATGGAAATTTTCACCTTTAATTTTGTGGAAGGATAAAAAGATGCCCCTATGTGCATGCAGTAAACAATGCTTTTCACATCCCAATAATTCATTGAGGAAGATCCCCTTTTTTCTTCTGATTTATTCAGTTTTACCCTCCCATAGCCATCTGAGACAAGGAACCTTCTGAGACTTTCAGCATTTTGAAGGTGAACGTTGAACCCCTTCAAAAAGTCTTATCTGTTAGACACTGTGGAGACATTTAAACTCTGGCATTGGGGTGATTTACAAATATTATTTCATTTTTTTCACGCTCTCAAAAACTTAGCCTCATCAACTCCATTTGGAAACAGGATCAACCTGGAGACTTCCTTTCTTAGAATTGGCTCTCAGCAACGCATCTGCTTTCCTTGTTTCACAGTAATTCCACTTCGGCTGTGATGGTGGTACTTAATCTGGCCAGTTTCCCCTAACATCTTCATTTTAAATTAGACAAATCTTCCTGTTGCAGTGAGAAGACCAATAGGAAAAGCCATCCTCCATCTGAAAGTCCAGTAGACTCAGGGGTGATTAAAGCACGAAGATGATGATGACCATAATATGATCAGCTAACATTTATTATAAGATTATTATCTCCTCGTCACTTTGCTTAGCTCTTTATGCGAATTTTCTTAATTGGTCCTCCAAACTGAAGAATGAAGTAGATATACAACTGTTCCCATCACATACATGAGGAAAGGGCAATGTAAAGAAGTTAAGGGACTGCCAAGATCTGAGCGAAGTCCAGTTCACCCCAAAACTTACTTCATTGACCATCTTACTACATACAATGCCTCGACAAATAAAATCTAAATGCCCAGAAGAAAATATTTTGCATTGGAGGTCACTGAAAAGTTGGGGTAGGGCTGTTG